TCTAGTATTTGAACATACATAACCACCATATATAACCGAGCACTCCTATTACTTCAGCGTTACGATCAAAACGCGACCCAAGTGCATTAGCGGAGCACAGAAAATGATAATGGAGAGGTGTACCGCGGACCAAAAATTTGTATACTAACTTCAGTAGCATCTGAGTACCGATGATAATAATACAGGATAATATATATTCACAGAAAAATACATTATTAAATAAAATAAGAATTACATTAAATACGAGATAAAGAAAATCATAGATATTTTCGAATAATATATTAGATATTCTTTTTATTAAATCAATTTATTTCAGATGTGACTGCGCACCTTTCTTTCGAATCTAATTTAGAGGAGGGTTATTAGCGTTTCAGATTGATTATTATTGAAAGTCCAGAAGTTATCGGCGCGCAGTGTGTCATATCTGAAATAAATTGATTTAATAAAGAGAATATATAATGTATTATATTCGAAAACAACTAACTTTGACCGATTATGGCTTTCTTTATCGTATTTGATATATTCATATATACGGTCGTTCTTAAATCTTATAATGTAAATAAGAATTGAAAATTACAATATTAAATAAAAAAAAATACATTGTTAAATAATTCTTTTGAAAATTTCAAGTTCTTTCTGTAATATATTCATGCGCAATTCGTTACAAGTAATTTTCTCGCTTCAGAAAATTTAAATTGGATTAATCAACTTTTAATTATTATCCGTTGCGGAATTACGTTAACCTAAGTAATGTTACATCCATTAACACTCGCGTTCTGAAATTTCTGCTAATAATTTTAACTCTCGACCCGTAATTTCTCGACTTTGTATACTAAAATTCCACGGTAGATTTAGATTCAATTCTAACATTCCAACGGCCTCTAAAATTCAACCGGCCTCTTAAGCCCGTTATATTTCACGTCGGTTTGGGAAACAATTCAAAAATTTTTAAAGACACAATACGTTTGCGGAAATCGATTCGTTTTTTCGCCTTTCCATTAATTATTAACGAGTGCACTAATTCCCCAACAAATCGGCAATCGCGATATACGTACCGTCGTAAATTATCACAGCAGTAGCCGGATATAACCGGACGGTTCTTACAAATCCCACGATATATTCGTTCAATCGCAAACCAGAGCGCACGCGCACGCAGGCATAAAACGCGGCTGACAACTGTTATCTATATGTGAACGATTTTACGTGCTAGATTAATTATACGAGCGGCTAGGTTGCAACTAATTCACGCGTCACAATGATCCTTGATTTATGATGCATCGGGCCCGGAATTTACTCCATGAATCAAAACGATCGTAGACACCGAATATACCGACCCGTCGAGTTGTCACGAGACGAGATATCGACTTTAATGTGATTAAGTTTAATTACGCTAATTATTGCAGGACTACGCGCAACGCCTTAGGCATCACGAAAGAGGGAGGCCAAACGTGAACAACATATAACATCTCCCGGCAATTCCCTCAATTTGCTCTCTAATCTCTTAATTATATGCATATGGAGTTGCTACTCCGCATGGCAGTTGCCTTCACCCAAAATAGGCAAAGACCTAGGATAATCACCAACATGGCCAATTTTAACTTTCCACATTCAATCTTCAGAGAGGTAATATTAAATGTTAATTTTGCGGTACACTTCTCCGTATGTTAGCGTATGAATTGAAAAGCAAATCAAATAGAAAATTCAATATGTCTCTCCAAACAAAATATTTATTTAAATATTATTTATTAAAATTAAATTATTTTATTTTTCAGAATTTATAAAGATTATAAATCTATATATCTTTAAAAAATACATGTTGCCACGTTTAAGATTATATATGAATGCCTTTATAAAATCTTTTGGTATTCAATATAAAAAGTTTGAGAATTATTTAATAACCATCCTTTGATAATTTGCAAAACAAAAATTAAAATATAATTTTTAATATTTTCTAATAAATTAAAAATATATTCTGACAGTTCAAAATATATTCTAATAAATTCAAAAAAATATGCCAATTTATGCCAATTTTAAATACATTAATTACATGATTATAATATACAATATAAATATATTTTTCAACATGATAATATATTTTTTCAATTAAATATATATAATCTATATAAAAACAAATGCATCTGAATCAAATAAATTATAATTACAAAAACAAAGAACTCACGCAACTGTGTATGCATTAATTTACAATTATTAAAATTATATAAAATATTCGCATAGTCTTGGCCAGAAGTATACATAGCATCCTCCATTTATTGCGTATTCTTGGGAAAAGAGGTAAGAAAAACTAAACGAAAAAAACAAAATATTAAATTCATTATATCTCTGATTGTCGGACACCACAAGTCCGTTACGTGAAGCCGCGAGAAAAACGCTTACATCAAATCTGACAATTTGATGAGCGATTCTACGTAGTAGTGATTCTATGTAGTAACGCAATACATGTAACTTTGATTTTACTTTATCTAATTTGGCATTTGGATAAAGAAGAACTAATTGTCGGGAATCATCAACTTGGAATTTGTGTTAATTATGTAATTTCAATTTATATTTTACATTAATAAGGATCCGAACTGAAGGGTTGAAACATATATTTTATTCGTTTTCTTATATTCACACGAAAAATAAAGAATTTTTGTGCAGCTGATGTAGGCTCTGATGAGTTTTTTTACATTTTTCAAAATATTAAAATTGTTGTAAAAAAATAAATATTATTTTTCAATAAAATCTTTTTAAAATAATTATTTTTCATTAGATATAAATTTACGTCAATTTGTAAGAATGCTTTGTACTTATATTTGTAGGCCAAGGCTATAACTTCCAGTCATAAATTAAACATTTCACCGGCATGGTGAAAAGGCATGGAAAAAATTGAAAAGATCCGACACTAATCATATGTGGAAAAAGTTTAAAAAAATTAACTGAAACTGTGATATTTTGTAGCTTATGCTGATCAAAAGTTTTTACAGGCACAATCATTAAAAGCGGACAAATTTTGCTGTAGCACCATCTAAAAGTTGCTATTTTGAGCCTAATTTTGGATCTATCATATTGAAATTTTAATTGTTTAAATATTTATACAATTATTAAGAATAGAAATATATAAAATATTAGAAATAGAGGAAATATATAAATATTAAAATTTTAATCTATCAGAAATCGTATATTCCGGAGTAATCAATTCTGAAATCTTAATGCTTGCTGAAATTTTAATACTATTAAAATATTAATATACTCCTTTCCCTATTTATATTTCTTTCATTGTAAGCAGTCTCTTAAACATAACTATACATGTGTCTATTATTAAGTAGGTTTCTGTTTCTCTCTCTCTCTCTCTCTCTCTCTCTCTCTCTCTCTCTCTCACGCGCGCGCGCGTGTTGGTGTGTGTGTGTGTGTGTGTGTGTGTGCGTGCGTGCGTGCGTGCGTGCGTGCGTGCGTGCGTGTGTGTGTGTGTGTGTGTGTGTGTGTGTGTGTATGTGCAAAGGGAAAAAGGTATACTTATAGGCTGGTTCAGAAATTTCACCCGGGTGCGCCCAGGTATCATCTTATGCTTGTTTAACATTAACATGGTGAACCACAGGGATAAAATAATATCTGAATAAACATATCTGAATGAAGTTTCTAAACGCAATCTATGGGTGTGTTTGATACGAACCGCTTACTGAGCGCTCATTAAGTAAAAATTGACAAAAAAGGGAGTAATATGTTTATTCATTATAATATTCATAATACAATAGAATAATTTATCTCTCATAGACAATCTTTAATATTATATTTCTCATTTATTACTGTTTATTATTTCTCTAAAGCCGTGAGAGCGTAAGCGTTCAGAGAGCGATGTGAACATAATTTTATTGTCACTCATATCGCTTACTAAATGCCACACAGCTTTAAGGAAATAATAAACAGTAAGTAAGAAATATAATATTAAAGTTTATGAGATAATTCTGCATTATAAATATTATAATAAAAAAAATACATATTAATTTCTTTTTTGCCAACTTTTGCTCAGTGAACGATCCGTCTTCAATACACCCTATATATGTATTGATATGTGTACATTTATGTCGATGGCTATTTTAATATCATTATAATATATCTGACATTATTTTACTCTTTATTTCATCTTATCAGATCATTTATATCGGAGCAAAATTTCGCACGTCGAGTACGCCGATAAAGTACGTGCCAAAATTAGATAGTTTCACCAATTGTTATTGCCATATTTCCCTTTTTCATCATATACCAGATTTGAAACTAGGTAAAATTACGATGGAAAATTATGATATAACGCTTTAATAGAAGCGTAAAAACGCAAATGACCTCATAGTGGAGAACAAAAAATGAGGAACAAAAACTGACGAAAAGTAAAGGTTACATACTGGACATCTATTGGTCTATATAAATGCTTATTCAATTAAAAAACAAACTGTGTACTGTAGATAAAGATACTTATCAGTACTCCGATCAGATCCAAAATAGTAATTTTCAAATGCAAGCTCTATTTTTGATGACTGTTTATGAAGACCTTTGATCAATATCTCATAGACTACAAAATAAAATATCACAGTTTTTTTTCAGTCAGTTTAACTGAAATCACTTTCCAGTTCTAGCCAATTTGACTGAAATCACTTCTAATTTCAACCAATTTAACTAAAATTACTTTTTTAAATTATTAGATTAGTTTAGAATTCTTTATCAAAATTGCACAGAGAAAGGAAACGGTTTTGCTGAGGTATTAAAAAATTCAACTAGATACAGATCTGTAATTTTGTTAGACCATAAAAAATAACTACAAAATAATTATGTAGGACACCCAACCTGGTTACTAGAATGTAAAATCTCTTCGCAACACATCATGCTTGAGATTCTTACATAATTAATTTTAATAGTACAACAAAATTATTTTCAGATCCTCTGTATCCAGCTAAATTCGTAAACATTTCAGCAAAATCATACTTGCCATGTACGGAAAAATGACTCACCCAAATGATCGGAGCCCACTACCCGATGAGCCCGGAGAAGCAGCATCCACACCGCCAGCAAGATCATGACTTTCCCGGTTGCGTCACTGACTAACATCATCGTTGCACTGATTCAGTCAGTCTCTTATATCAACATCATACCGTCGTACGTCACCAACATGTCACATCACCCGCACTTTGGTCATCGAACACTACCGGATTGCGATATATCTCCGCGAGCGTTCAACGAGGAGTCACCCGCCGCGAAGTCGTCGAACTCGAATCGATCATTTCCAGCCGGTCCGTTCCGATCAAGCTTAGCGGCACCGAC